CTTGTGGATGTATGCGGCTACAGTCAGAACCACATAAACACTGGTGACTGGTTGCTGTTAGGGCTGGTTGATATATTTGAAATCAATATCATGATGTTAAAAATAATACTTTTTCCAATAACTAATTTTGCTCTTTTTTCAATCACAAGTTGCTTGGCAACATAATTGATGGAGCCTACACATTTATGAGAGAAAGCCAGAGTTTCAAACTTGAGGTGTAGAGATTGAAATATGGGAACATTTACCAGGCATGGAGGGCCTAACAAAAGATGCTGTCAAGCTGCATCATGGGAAGTGTAGGATCATGGAGACTAAAAGTCAGGATATCTTGGCCACTGCTGCCAGTCCCCCAACTTTATGGAAGTACACTGCTAAATTGCTGGATTACCCCTTTATTTTAAGTTTTTTATCACCTAATCCCTGCTGAAGCATTCACAGTTATGAGCTGACTTTTGCAAGATGTATTGCTAACAGGTAAGTAAAACTACAAAATTCTGTGTTTTTTAAATCCTGTCTTATGAGTCTGAGTAAACAACTTTTTGGTGCCTATGGATGTTTAGTGCTTTGTGAAGCAAGATGCTTTTGTATTAATGTATCAAGAGGATTTTTTTATAATATCAAGCTTTTAATCAAATATTTTTTTCCCTTGATGCTCAGATATTAATCAGGCTGATTTGATTTATACACACAACAGTGGGCACTAAGGCTTAATGTCAACAGAAATGTTGAGAATATAGTAACTGCGTAGACTGTCAGTACTCCCTAGGCTCCCCTGGACTATATATCAGCAAGAATGGCATCTAAATCAACTTGTCTTGTTAAATAAGAGTTAACAAAGTCCAAACATTTTAATTAGACATCAAAATTCATCCTTTTATCAGCATACTGCATCCTGAATGAACTCCTGGCCTTTTGATTGGTTGTCAACACCCTCCTCAGGGACACTAACGACCTGGCAACAGACTCTCGCACTTTGAGGACAAATGGGATGCTGGGACCACCTCTCCACTGCCAAAACCCATTGCTCATCAGCTGTGTGTGTGTGTGTGTGTGTGTGTGTGTGTGTGTGTGTGCGGAAACTTGTAGCTGTTTGGTGACATTATAAACCGGTCTTGGAAATTATCTGATTGCATCTGTATTCTTAATATTTGTCTTGTCATGTATTTCAATGAATAATTCAAATGTACTCAAAAATGGTGTGTGTGCAGCTGCGTGTGTTTGAGTGTGTGTGTGTGTGTGTGTGTTTGGACTGTGAGCACAGTGAACATCACTTCTTATGATGGTCTGAGTGAAGAACGCAGCTGCCACTTCACACTGCAATTATGCCATTACAGAGTTGACGATTGCCCTGCACGCATCACTGTGACCACACACACCACGCACTGTAATCACATGACCACACATGTAAATGTATGCCCCCTCAGTAATGCTCAGACATATCACATAATGGACATTACAGTATTTCAGATTTTCAAATTCTTGAACTTTAATTCTGGAAATAAACATAATTTAGAATAAGCAAGTCTGCTCCACAGACACAGACATAGCAATCCTACACATAGATACCTATATCCTGTATTTGCAGAGCTCCCAGTCTTCTACGGCACGAATAGAAGCAGAGGCACACACATAACTAGAAAATGTTGTATCATCCTTAGTTTTATTTTTATTTCATTTTTTAATTCTTTTATTGGTTACCTATAACACCCTCAAGGCTTTGCCTGTAATTCTGAGCTCTGCCCAAGGACACTGTCATGTCAACCAATTAATGAACCACTGTGGACTTAAAGTGCGAAAACAGAAAGTAGGTGGCCACACAGGTCACCACTGCCACACACATACACCTAGAGCTGTCTTCTTTTTTTCTCTGTTGGACTCCTCTGCCTTTTATCAGCTTATCCTGCTGCTACTGCTGGTGCTTCTTCTCCTGCTATTTGGCACGATGGCCGGCTTACAGGTGAGAGATGGAAACTGGCTGCTTCATTAGAAGAGGTCTGCTCTAATAAATGATTCAGTGTGTCGGTGGACTGCTGCTAGGTACTTAAAATTGTGTATTTCAGATATTTGGAGGCCAACAGTATTATTGCCACACTTAATATTTATATAAGCACATAGCTCATTATCTCAATTAGATCTTTAAATTTGTCATATTCTGTCACATTCCTTTATAAACAGTCACTGTTATATGTGGCAGTTATGCCCACACATGCATTCATGATTTATTTTCTTTTTCTGGGTAAAGGTTGGAGTACAGGGGATCAACTGGAATAATTCAAATGAATATGCAATTACACAACAGCTAACAAAATAAACAACAAATACATTCTACACATGATAAAAAATGAGCTCCTATTTCGTTTTTAATGCAGGTTATATTGTGCACATGTTGTGTCTTTAGCTGTTATCTAATGTGATCAAGTTCTTTTTGCCAAACAGATCCTCTTATTTCTACTATTAACAATTCAGATTAGGGTTTTTCTTTATATAGTTTATTTATTTATTATAATCAAGACAACACACACGTACCAAAAGGAGCACAGTCACACATTACAGACTGGACACGTCAGCGCGCTCTTCACGTCCTAGTCTCGGGTGACGTCATCGCGCATCGTTTCCAAACAATACTCAGGAAAAAGCCACGTTGACGATCCAGACAGAAGTGTAGTCCACAATTTCGGGAAGAATAAGGCAGCAATCGGTTTGTCAGACGCTCTGGTTGCTTCCCGCCGCTGACTCAGGATCAGAGCAGACATGTCGTCGCCGCCGAAGGAGAAAGTGGAAACCAAAGGAGGACATCTCCCTGCAGGTAAAGCTCCTCGGGCTTCTGTGTTGTTGTTTTTTTTCCAAAGCTTCCTGTAAACACGGAGGCCTTTGTTTCTGCACCGTCTCTACCAATAATCACATGATGATGATTAATACTTATGCAATCGCCACGCTTTGCAGATGCCAACCGACTGACGGCGTGTCTTAGCGTTCAACACTGCGCGCAGTGTAATCTGCCTTATTTCGCAATTTCGCACATTTGCTCACTTCCTGATTGACGTGGGAGGTCTTGCTACCTCATTAAACCTGCTCATAATGTAGCCAGTGGCGGTTAGCGCCGTACAATGCACAGATTTCGGTTACAATGTTGCGGCTTGTTGCTTTGCTGGATGTGGCTGACGTGGAGGTCACAGGCTCCAGGCTGGTTGGATGGAGGTGAAAACAGATAAGGTGTACGTGGACCAGTGGAGCAGTGTGGCAGGGCACTGGGCCTCAGCAGCTGCAGGCCTGATAGCACAGTAAGATAACAGATGCTCCTCGCACCCAACCTGTGATTAGTGGGAGGCCCACAGTGCATGAAGCCTGCAGCCTGTCAGTCTTTCACAAACACGCAGGTGTGTTCATGTGTACGTGTGAGCACTGGATACCTTTGACATTCTCATTGCTGTAAGCAGCTCCTCTGGATCGAGGTCAAAGATCAAGGTCAGGAAGGGAGCAGCAGTCCTGCAGCTGTTAAGAATTCGGGGGTCTGGGTCTAGGTCACTAAAGCAGCCAACACGGCCGTTTTAACCTTGGTGTTCCTTCTAACTCTGTAGCTTAAAAAAAAAGTCCAGGTCTTACATTCTCCTTAAGTTAATGATAAGGTTGAAGCCCCTAACTATGACTTTACTTATCTATTGAAATGCGGTATAGCTCAAATGTTTTATATCACCATCCAGGGTCTTTGTATTTTCTCACTGTTTTAATCTAAGTTTATACACTGATCATTTATGTGTGTGTGTGTGTGTGTGTGTGTGCTTTGCAGTAAAGGCAGGAGGTATGAGGATAGTACAGAAGCACCAGGCTGCTGCTATTCCGGAGCCACCGCAGAAAGATGATGATGAAGAGGAGTACGTCAGCAGCAGGTACCACACCCACAGAGTCATGGAAGGATTGCTGAATGGGCCCACTGGGCACGGCCGCAGGAGCCTAAAGCGTGACTGTTAACATTTCTTGTCGGAAAGTCAATCAAAGGACTACAGAGAGGCACAAAATGACTACAAAGAGATGTAAAAATGACTGCATTGACGTGGCTGCAACATTTATAGCCGTTTTGTGTCTCTTTGACTCTGAGTGTCTTGTTGGGGTTGATATGATCTATCTGTTCATACACACACAAGTAGCTTACATACATTTACTGGAGAGGTGGTTCAGTACTATCTGTAGTTATATTCAGAGACCTTCTGTGCAGCGTACAACTCTGCTATGATTTGTACGTTGGTAATCACACCCATACACACCCTGCAAATTGCAACTAAGCAATTTAGCTGCTTCCACTTTTCTATAAGGCTATACTGTAGGCCGTTTTTGCAGCAGACTTCTTGTGTACTCTTGCCAGCTAATTCGGTAAACAACATAATTACTGAGTAATTACAGCATTAACTTGAACAACCCATTCAGCAGTCGCTATTGTTTGCTATAAGCAGCCTTGGTTTGCATGTTTTACATCACACTGGCTCTATTTTCCGAGCGACAGTAATTGTTCTGTTTCCATATTAGCATGTTTTGGCTTTTGCTGCCTGAATGCATTTTTGTACCGAGGTCACTCCGTTCTGCCATGGAGGCGGCGCAAGTTGTTGCGTACTTTCAGCCTAATTGTGTGTCCACTTCCACACCCACATATGCCTCAATATTCATGAGGACTCGTCAGCTATGTGCATATCGGTACAGGTGGCGCGTTCACATCACATATCAGTTGGTGTGTGTGTTAATGAGAGGTGATAAATGAGAACCGACAAGCAGTGAGCAGGGTTCAAGAACATTGCCAACTGTGAAGAAATTGTGTGTGCTTGTTCTCTATACACACACACACAAAATTATATATTGCATGTTCTTCATCCACCTTGTTGTTTGAATATTTTGCTGTAATTCAGAGCAGGAGTAGCCACTGCCAGTGGCTATAAGTCATTTTTCTTTTGCTTTCCTTGCCTTTGTGACAAGATGTGTGGCAATAATAGGCACATCATTAAAGTGAAAAGTGAGGTCAAGTAGATAACAGAAGTACAAAGAAAAAAAACATGCAAGCTTGGTTTATACTTCTCAAGGGTAAAGGCCTTCTTGAGAAAGAACACGCCAGACCAGGCTCTTGTTAATGTCTTTTGTAGCAGACACTGGTCAGGGTGTGACCGTTATTCCAGCCTTTTGAATATGCACTTCCTCATTTTGTTACGTTTGCTTCAGAGGATATGGAGTCATATTGTATATCTGCAACTAACAGTTCTTTTTATTATGAATTAATCCTCCAGTTGTTTACTCAAATAATCATTTAGTCTAGAAACTGTGGATTATAAATGCCCATCACAAGTTCCTCGAGCCCAAGGTGACATCATTAAAATGTCTTGTTTTACCGACCAAAAGTCCCTGAAGAGAAACACAGCAAAACCTCAAATGTGAAAAGGTGCCAGGAAATGTTATTTTATTCTCATATAATACCTCATTATGATATAACAAACTTATAACCACCCATGCAGTGAACCTTTTGCAAAGAGCACAATCTTCACAAATCTGCATTCAGATTTCAGAGAAATGACACCCTACTGTTTTTACAATGATTATGATTATGATGATGATATTATTTCTTTTATTAGTTGCAATATAGTCTTACTTAGGAGTTAGTGGCACTAACTATTGTTATTTCCAGGTGATTATACACTAATGAAAACATACTTACATACTACAACTAATATTGTATTCCATTTATACCAATAGATCCCCTTAAATCTTACGCACTGGTCCTTTTAAATATGTGATGGATGTGTTGTAATATATTGTACTTGTAAAGGGGCCAGCTAAATGTCTGCTCGTGAATTAGAATTTTGTGGCTTGAAATATCTGTTTTCCCTCAATTGATAAAAAAAATACAGGGGTTTAATAGTTGCTTTAGTATTTATGTCACTCAGTTTTTCCCAAATATTTCCTTGCAGAGCTTGCCGTCAGGGGAGACGAATTATTGCTTTGACTGTGAAGATAAATTAGACAAATCACTGCATTTTAATCACTGAGAAAAACCATCTGAAATCAGGCTGTAGCTTGATGAACTGCTTTTGGCCTGGCTGTGTTTACCTTCCTCCTGTGAAATGTTTATCTTTAACTTAAAATGACCTGTCAGTGCATCCAAAAAGAGAGGCTTAGAAACTGCACTCCATCAGTAAATACAGTCAGTGAAAATCTCTCCCTCAGACACACGCTCTGTGTCACGCTGATGGACGTCTAGCAGGTGGCTACTGGGTAAATTTCGCATTAGTAGCAGCCAGTGAAGCGTTGTAGTCAGGGGAACACCTGCCGTACCCAATCTAGCCGAGATGGACAGATGGGGCAAAGGGAGAGAGATAGGTGGCCGGGATTATGGCAAGGTGAAGACGGGAGGATTTTTATGGTATGGAAAGCGAGGGACTCCATGGTGATATGAAGATACGAAAGAGAAGGAGTAATGGAAGGAGAAGGGTGGGTAGGAGTGAGATACAGGGAGGAAAGGGAGGCATAAGCAGAGCAGAGCCAGAGCAAACTGCTGACCCAAAAGAGGCTTCCTGCCCACAACTGTCAGGTGAATGTGTTTTTTCAAATGCATCAGGAATAAATCTAGTGTTTCTTCTCCTGTGTTAAAATGTGATGTTCAGAGAGAGTTCGAGAAGCACGAGCAGGAGAGAGGGAGGCATAGCAAAGGAAGTAAACGAATGGACATAGGGTCATTTCATCTCGTGACACGTAGAGATGAATATATGGTCTATGAACTGCTCACGCGTCGTCTGCAAGGTGATCACAGGCCGCATGTCAGTTGCACTGTCACCTCTCCTACATATTTTGGTGAGAGGTGGACATGTTCAAGAGCCTCAGACAAAAAAGAGTGGGTGGTGCTGCGTGTACGCTTGACTTAATCACTGCACATATACACAGTACGCAGGAACTGTTGTGACATGTGCAGTAAGCTGACAGCTCATGGTGAAAAGTTGAGAGAGAGAGAGAGAGAAGGGTGGAGGGGGTGGGGAGGAGAGACAGGCAACAGGCATCAGTTTCTATGGCAACCACCACTTCGCCCACGGCAACAAACTTCCTGCTCTGCTGAAGCAGAGGAAGATGGGTGGAGTAGTAGTGGTGGTGGTGTGACTTCAGAGCCAAAGACAGAGAAGAAAACACCACACAAACGCGCTACTGCTAATTTCACTCTTGGAGTTATTAGTTCAATTTTGCATTCTGTATCTCCCCTTCTCTCTTTTTCCCCCCTTCCTCGATCTCCTTTCCTCTAACTCTTCTCCCTTCTCCTTGCATGAAGTGACTCCTCCCTGGGATTCCTTACAGCTCTCTACTGCCCCCTGCAGCCTCCCTCTGTCACCATACACAGCCACCCTCCTCCCGGTCACACCGAACCACAGCACTGATCTTCGTTACTTTATGTTTCTCTTTCTGAATGCGCTTCTAGGTGTCTCTTTCCATTTTACCATACATATCGAATAGAAGTGTGATTAGCTTTTGTGCTGTATCTAGATGAAGGTATCGGGCCTGATACACTCAGTTTTAAGTGTCTGTCATCTATTAGTCAAGGGTGACTAACTATCATTTGTGACAACATGTGACTGTGCAGTATGTGTGTATTTAACTGCCAGTCAGGTTAAAGGCTCTCATCTTCCTCTCTCTTTTTTTTTTTTTACACATTCGAAGAAATCAGATGCTTGTTAGCTGTCTGTCTCTCTGACAGGCTTACACCCCTCACTCCTCTCTGTCTGTCTAGTTTACATCTTATCTGTCTGCCGTCTGTCTCTCTAGCCGCGATGTTCAATCGTGGAAACAAAGTTTAATGCTAACGCTTTTCAGGTGCAGTAGTTTTTCCCTTCATCCTCGGTTTTGTTTCATACCTTCCCTCCCTTTCGCATTTTTTTTCATTTCAGGATTTCATCCTCAGATTGCAGCATGGCAATAGACGTTCATAGGAATTGAGACATGTGACGAACCAGCGTGAGGTGAACACACGCCCACGCTGTCTCAGTATGTGGATTCGTATCCAACTGAGCGTGCCTTTTCACCGCAACCCCAATGTGCTGAAAGCGAAGCAGTTACTGTATGTGCAGCTTGTTTTTCTTTCAGAACACGTGAAGTTGCATAAAAACTGTGAACCACATTGTTAAACAATGTTTCTACATTACTACATTTGTATTCCAGAAAAACAGCATTACTGGGCTGTAGCAGCTGAGCGCTAACGAGCTAGCGCACAGCTAGGAGGGTGTGTTAGGATAAATGAGGAAATCTGCCATCCTATATCGCTATATGGGTAATGAAAAGCAGATACCTCGGCTATATGCAGCACGGCACCCGCCAGATGTGTTTAAGATTAAAGATTTGCCAACAGGTTCTTATATGCATTTTCCATATGCACATTTATTCTCTGTTTGTTGCTCAGATAACCGTAACATTTATTTTAAAACTCCACCAAATGTTTGCGGAAAGGTAGCGAGACCCCCTCAGCACGCCGAATGAGGAACACTTGCCCCGCTAATAGGCCATATTTTAGTTAATTGACTTGCTAATAGATGGCTCTCTCAACCCAACATTCTGACAAGTGGCTAGTGAGGCATAATCAGTGAAATTCAACACATCCAAGCATTAATTTAATAGCGAAATGTAAATATTCTCATTAGGATAAGTAGCAGTAGGGCTATTCGGTGCCAAGATTCCGATTGCAGAGATGGAGGTTAGCCAGATGTTTTGAGTACATAACTGTTAATTGATAAAAAAAAAAAGCTGTGCACGGATCATGAAATATTAAAAGGAAAGTAGCAGATGTTTCAAAATGCTATGTTTGCCCAAGTGCTTGGATTGTGACGGCTGAGTCAGTCTGTGCGAGAAACGTTTTCATCTTTTCAACGTATTTAGGCTGTTAATGAGGTAAGCCGTAAGTTGGACATCCTCGCCACTGTAGCTAATGTCTTTGAGTGGAGTTTTGAAGGTGGCTACCACAACTTTGCTCTTTTGCCGGGGGGGTGACGCCGCCGTAAAATTAGACGGCGCTCGTTTGTCATGTCAAGGTCGATACTTACCTCAGGTTCTGCATTCCTCCTCCTCCTCCTCATCTTTTTTCTCTGCCTCTGTTCCTTCCTCCTTTCTATGTCTGAGTGAGCGCTCGCCTCCCTCTCTCCTCCATCCTCGTCTCCTCTCCTCTAACAGTCTCTTATTATATTGGTATTTCGCTCCGCCGTCCTCCCTTGCCCTCTCGCCTCCCCGTGTCACTCCTCCCCCTCCTCTGTTTGCCCCGACCTGCCGTTCCCACCCCTCGTCCTCCTTCTTCCCTCCTCTGCTTTTTGCTCTCCCTTTCTCCTTCCCCAAATCCTTTCCTTTATCATCATCCTCCTCTTTAGGGCTCTTTTCCTCTCATAGCTTTTCTGCTTTCTCCCGCCTTCCTCCCCCCCTCTCTCCTCTCATGCTTTCCATCCAGAAGCTACGAGCCCCAGTGTTTGGCCAGGATGAATGGGAGCTATTTAAGCTGCTGGCAGGTCCATCCGGTGTGT